ATATTGAGGACCTACTGTGTGCTAGAAACTGTTATAAATACTGATGATACAGTGATATTGGTGAAAAGGATGGCAGAAAACAAATATTATGTGTGTCATTTTATATATACATATTATATACGTAATATAATCTCAGGAGCCATGAAAAAATGGAGCAGGTTAAGAGATTAGAAAGAGATCAGAGTGGTGGAAGGAAGCACTCTCTTAGATAGTGTAGGTAGGGAAGGCTTGTGTGAGGCAACAACATTTGAGCCAGGATGTGAATTATGGGAAGAAAGGTACTGTGCAAATAGTGAGCAGAGGCAGCAAGGTATATTAGCAGTTTAGATATTATTCTAAATTCAATGAGGTGCAACTTAGGGTTCTCTTTCTTGTAATTTTTTTAAACAATAGAGTACAATAATCTAATTTACTTTTCATAAAGATCCACTGAATGCAGTATGAAGCATGCACAGGGAAGGAGAGAGAGTCATATTAGAAGTGTAAAACTAGAGTCAAAAAACAGATGATCTTGGAGGTGAGAAATGAACCAGTTTCTGCTTCTAGTGATGATAGAATAGCTTATATCGGAGCAACCCTTCTGCCAAGAATAGCTGTAAAGTTTGGATAAAATACACAGAGCAACAAATTTAAGAGCTAAGAAAACAACCAAGGCTTGAGGACTTCAGTGGCCACAATACTGGAGAGAAGCATGGTATTTGAGGTGAGCCCTAAGTTCACCTTGGCTTTTAGCCTATGGGCATTTGTCTTTTCACATTGTTGGTATAGAGGCTAATCAGAGAGTTTTAGGGTTCTTTTAGTTTCGCTGGGCTAGAGAAACAGAAGAGGGATCTGGGAACTGCCAGTGAAACCAGGACTTAATATACTGAGAGAAGAGCAGACATATGCATCTGAGGTTGTACATGCAGTTTTCTTGTGAGCTGTTTGCCAACTCTTAGCCACCTTAAGCACAGAGCAGAAGTTTCATAAACCAAGCTGAAAGCAGCAGATAGGAGGCTAAAAAAGCTGATTGAAGATTTCCTACTCTTGTTCTGGAGAGACAGAGGTTAGAGTTCAAGGTCAAACAAGTTGGAGGGGCCCTGTAAAATACTCTAGGGATCTCTTTTTTATTTGAAATCTCTTCCCTTGGGAGTAAGGGAAATTCAGATAAAGACCAGCCCAAAAAAGACCTAAAATGGTGCTCTTAAATAGTGTAGAGTGATTTTCAAGTATACTCCTTGCCTATTTGAAGAAAATTAAATCTATTCTAAGGAAAGATAGTATTAGTGCAGCTACAGAATTTTATATACAATGTTGAGTATTTGATCAAAACCCACTACAAATATCAGGAAGCAAGATCAAATGACCAAAACTAAGAAATATTAAAAAGACAAGTGAAACAGACCTATGGGAGATGAAGATAATGAACTTTTTTTTTTTAATTTTGTTTATTTATTTGACAGAGAGAGAGAGATCACAAGTAGGCAGAGAGTTGTGGGGGGGATCAGGCTCTCTGAGCAGAGAGCCTGAAGTGGAGCTCGATCCCAGGACCCTGAGATCATGACCTGAGCCAAAGGCAGAGGCTTAATCCACTGAGCCACCCAGGCGCCCCAAGATAATGAACGTTTAAATAATTGTAGTAGAAAATATAAATAAAGACTAGTAGTACCAGAGAACTGGAGTATATATTCCAGTATTTAATATACATATAAATATATATATATAATATATAACATAGTGTATAATATAATATACTATATATATAATAAAGTATAGCTAGAAAACTATAAAATACTTATTCATGTCAAACATAGAACCTACACAAAAATTGATCATTGGCTGACTTTATAATTCATCTCCTTGAATTTCAGATTGAAATCATCTAAAGTGTGTTATCTAACCACAAAGGAAATTAAGCTATGATTAATAACAAAAAGAAAACTAGAAAATGCTTATGTGAGTCAACATTGAGAAGGACTTCTTAATAACTCATGGATGAAAGAAGAAATTATAGTTGAAATTGGAAAATAGGTGGAAAGTAGTGATAATAAAAATATAACATGTAAAAACTTGTGGTTAGAGGAAAATAAGCTTAAATATAGACTCTTATGTATATAAAAAAAGAGTAAAGGCTAAAAATCAGTGATCAAAGTTTTCATCTAAAAACCTATTAAAAAATACATACTCCAAAAGAAGGAAAGAAATAATGAAAAGCAAAAGTTGAATTAAATGAAAAAAATGTACACTCGGAGAAAATCAACTAAACAAAAACTTGGTCGTTTTAAAAAGATTAATATAATTGATAAGCTTCCAGCAAGAAGCATTCATAAAGAGAAAAAGAGAGATTATAAACTACCAGTATCAGGAATAAAGAAGAGCCCAATCAACCCAATAGACCCTATAGGCATTAAAAATCCTAAAAGGATATTATGAATACTTCATACCTATACAGTTTAAACTGTAGATGAAATGGCCAAATTCTTTGAAAAAAATTCTAAAACTAACATAAAAAGGAAGAAAACATCTGGGTATTTTGATATCCACTAAAGAAATTGAATTTGTAGTTGAAGTGTTCCCCTTACAGGCCCCATTTTTTATTTATTTTTATGGATTTGTAAGAATTATTTGTATTTGATAAATGAGTCTTTTGTCAGATGCATGTAATGCAGATATCTTTGCCTATTCTGTAATTTGTCTTTTTGTTCTCTTACATGATTACAGTTTATCTCCTGAAACAGAAAGGAATATAGAGTATATAGGTTTTTATTCAATTAGGTTGGTTGGTTTGGTGATGAGATGTTTCCTATGTTCTTGATTTGCCTATTTTTTTGTTTCCTTATAGAGAAAAGTAGGGATAGCATTGTAACGTAACCCACACAATTCTTGGGAAGGTTAAACATCTTTTTTTTTTTTTTTTAAGATTTCCTTCTTTATTTGAGAGAGAGCAAGAATGTGAGCAGGCAGAGAGGTAGAAGGAGAATGAGACTCTCAAGCAGACTCCCCAATGAGCACAGGGCCCAAAGGGGCCTCCATCTTACAACTCTGAGATCCTGACCTGGGCCCAAATCAGGAGTTCGACACTTAACTGACTGAGCCACCCAGGCACCCCGGGAAGATTAAACATCTTAATGTATCTTAAAACAGAGCCAAGTATATATTAATTACAGCCTTAAGAAGTGTTGACTACTATTTATTTATTTATTTATTTATTAGTCAAAAACTTTCAGTGACAAAGAAATGAGTATTTGGTGTCTCTGGAGGAAAAAAAAACAAACCTTAAGTGGTTCACCATTATCCAACTGATAAAGTCTAAAATCTTAAACCTGGTTTTTCGACTTCCCCACTTGGTGGAGAACATGTTCCCCACGTGTTCGTTCCAACAACATTTATATCTGTTTGTCTTCTGTTCTAGTGAAAGTTTTTTTTTGTTGAAAGAAAAGAAACCTTAAAATTAGCACAGTGTATTATTACAGTGTAATAATGAATTTCATAAACATTCAAGGACAGGAAGTTAGGTGCAGCCCACTTTTGCATGGATTGAAATTAATAAATCAGGAAGCAGGACTTTCCCCACATTTCTTATCTAGCAACAGCACAGTCTCCTGTGTCTAACTTTCTCTGGAGAGCAACTCTCCCAGCTTCTGCTCTGGTGAAATCTTAGCCTTTGATTCAAGCCACCACTGCCAGCTTCCTTGTCTTTCAAAGGAAATTTCAAGAGAGAAACTTGGGATTGTTGACCAATGGCTTGCTGCTTCCTTCCTTTTAGGCCAGCCACAGCTAATTGTAGGTTCCTCAAGGCTTACTCTGCAGAAACAATGGACAGAGCACTGTCGAGCTAAAAGGGGTTTTGAGCTTGATGGGCAAATTGACTGTCATGCTAATCACACCCTTATCATTCCTTTATTTCCCAACAATATTGGGATTCTAGTTGGTCAGGTTTTACCACTGTCTAGATTGACTGCTTTTTGATCCTTCCTATCCACAAGTTTGGTGAATTCACTAGAGTTGGAGACAACTGTCATTGCAGTGTTTTGATTTTTCTATCTCATTAATCTTCATGGATTTTCTGGAGATTTGTGGAGGGCTGAGGGAAAATAAAAGTAATCAAATTTTAAAATTCTTCTTACAAATATGACTTCTTATATTCTTAAATTCTAAACAAAGAGTCCAGGAGAGGGGCACCTGGGTGGCTCAGTGGGTTAAGGCCTCTGCCTTCGGCTCAGGTCATGATCCCAGGGTCCTGAGATTGAGCCACACATCGGGCTCTCTGCTAGGCGGGGAGCCTGCTTCCCTTCCTCTCTCTCTGCCTACTTGTGATCTCTCTCTCTCTCTCTGTCAAATAAATAAAAACAAAACAAAAATCTAAAAAAAAAAAAAAAGTCCAGGAGAAATGCTTTGGATTACTAAAAAATAATTAACTGGTTACTCAACTATTGAATGATATTACTTCTTTCAAAAAAGTAAAATTACTCACATTTAGTCATTATTGTCTGTTTCTATGATTTCCTGCTAGAATATGGTTCTGAGTAATTTTGCCATGGGTTTGTTTTTTTCTGGCTTAATATTCAGTAATATCTAAAACCTCCCTCTGGAAGGATAGGTGGGAAATTTTCTTAAACAAGTGGTATGACAGTAATTATTTTTTTAAAAGAGAATAGACTGTTCATGTTTCATAAGGGGACTCATTTTAATTAGCATGTTGATCTGGGCATTAAGGTAGAGAGTTATGAAAAGAATTCTCTGACTCAATATTAATAGTTATGTCTCTTCAGAAGATAGAAGGTTAGTATTATATCCTGTATATCTCTGCATCCTGTATCTCTAGAGATATAACGGTATACTATATGTAATCAAAATTTACGTGTTCTCATCTACTTAAATGTTTTTTAGGCTTTATCAAATGTATTATTTGACTGGGTTTTTTACATATTAAAATGCTTATATGTTTGATGACACAGTGGGCAAATATTTTTTAATTTGTAGGTTTTTTTTTCACATTTTATTCTTTTTCTTCCTTTTAGGGTAGAGCCTGGATCAGAGTAGCACTCATGGAAAAACATTTATCTGAATACATCTCTACAGCTCTGAGAGACTTCAAAACAACCAGGTTTAAATGTCCTTTTGATTTTAAAATATATCTTTAAAACAGTCACCTGAAGATTAGAAATAAAGATAGAATGAAGATTCATTCCTTTCTAAAGTCCTCAACTATTTTATTTCTTCCTTTTTGTCTTCTCAGGAAAATGCCATTCATCAGCTAAACATACATTTTTGGTTTATCTTTTCAGGCTTCACATTATGCCTAGAACATCTTTTCTCTGAATCATTTCTGTTTCTTACACTTTGAATACTTGAAATTTCATTCTCTCCACAGACTTTTCCCTGATCATTTAATCTGAAGGAAAATCTAACCATGAAATTCCTATAGCATTTTTACTCTTACCACATTTTATTTCTTTGTTTTAATTAATATATGTAACTAATGATCGCTCAATTGTCTTTTAAGGGCATGCTATACCAGTGCTGTTTTTCTTAGGTTGTATTCACTGAAAAGATGACTATGCTGTGTCATGTGAAAAACAGGACTTTATTATATTTTTTAGAGTGATAGAAAAAAGATTCATATTAGGACAACAGGCATTCCTATAAAGTCCTCTGTTGATAGCTTCTGTTAAGAAACCACTTTTTGGGGTGCCTGGGTGGCTCAGTGGGTTAAAGCCTCTGCCTTCAGCTCAGGTTATGATCCCAGGGTCCTGGAATCGAGCCCCGCATCAGGCTCTCTGCTCAGCAGGGAGCCTGCCTCTCCGCCTACCTGTGATCTCTGTCAAATAAATAAATAAAAATCTTAAAAAAAAAAAAAAAAGAAACCACTTTCTCTATGTCAGAAGTATTTGTAAATGAAAATATTCAATAATTTCAATACCTTAAACATGTACTGTTTAATACAATGGCCACTAATCACATGCCACTATGTTAATTAATATTCATTAAGAGTAGGTAAAATTACTAAATCACTTCTTCAGTTGCCATATCATATTCAGTTGTCATCACATGCCATATCATTAAAATTACTAAATCACTTCTTCAGTTGCCATATCATATTTGCCACTCTGCCTGCTTGTGCTCTCTCTCTCTTTCTGACAAATAAATAAATAAAATCTTAAAAAAAAAAAAAAGCTACTTAGCCGCACATGTGTTCAGTAGACATGTGCGGCTAATGGTTACCAAATTGCACAGCACAGATGCATACCTTCTATTGGACCACACTGCCTTAGGTGCTGCTAAATTACCATACTGATTTCTACCTCCTAAAGCATATTTGTGAAAGAGAAGAAGAGAGTGACAACTATAAACCAGTTTTGATAGAGGAAATTAGGTTCACAGATAAAGAAATCATATATCTGGACTCTTAATTTCCATGTCCTGATACAGTATTTGGCATCTTGGATTTTGAGAAAATCTGGGCATTTAGTATGGTACATTTTTTTGTTTTGTTTAGTTCTTTTATTTGTTTTTTTTTCCCCAACTTGACTTAGATATAATTGATATACAGTGTAAGTTTAAGATGTCCATGTTGATTTGATATACTTATGTACTACAAAATGATTATTGCCATATCATTAACTAACACCTCTATCGTACCACATAATTATTTGATAGATACTTACTGAATTCTTTCATAGCAATATGATTGTTGGGGGATATTTCTAAAGATGGGCTGTGAAATCATGATTAATTATTAGATGTTTGAGATGAACTTCATGAAATGAAAAATTTATTTCTTCTTATTTATTATCACTAATAATTTAGTTTAATTATGAAAGATACTAAATATTAAGGCTATTAAGGCTTTGAAAATAAAAGTAGTATCAAAATCTCATAGACCAAACCTAAAAATCCTAAATTAATGAAATCAAAACCAAGGTTACACAATAATCATCTCCTGTGCAATAACAGGGTTGCATTAAAGTTATGGTATTCTCCTGAGTAGAAATTTAAGCATTAATAATCTAGTTGTTACTCTTGTTTCTTAGACAGTTGGGTGGGGTAGAAATAATTCTTGAAAGGATTATTTTTAGAATGAGTTGTTCAAATATTTAAAGGGAAATGCTTTTTGCCTTGTTCCGAGGTGTTAGCTATCCTTTTTGATAAAAAGGAAATGATTCAACTCTAAAAAGTCCATGAAGTAAAAATACCCTTGTAACAATATATAAGCATACATTATTCAAACAGAAACATGGCTTAGGAAATGTTTATACACACATACATACAAATATATAATGTTTATATGTATACACACACACACACACACACACACACACGCGCGCGCGCATAGTATTTCATTGTGAATATAATGGCTCTAATTCCCAAGAAAGGAAGTAAGGAGTTATTTTAGATTTCTCATCTTGGAAGTTAACTGAAAAACACATTTGCAAAGTCTTCCTTTTTTTGTTTTAAACTATTTATACTGTTTTTTGTTTTGTTTTGTTTTGTTTTGTTTTGCTTTGTTTTTACTGAAATCAAACCAAAGAAACTTAATTTGTAAGTAAACCTAATTGTGAACCTCTAGCCAAAGCATATCTATTATTTAGAAGATTAAGTTTATAAATACAAGCAAACTTTTGGAAAGAATAGTTAAACCTTACCTTTTGTCTGAATGCTGATACAAGTGCTTGTAGAACAATGAGAATGATCTCTGATCCTTTAGGAATCTTGAGAATTTCTGAGTCAAGTGATTTCTTCTTGTTCTACTCTTCAATGAGAAAGAGTAATGACGTTCTGTAAAATGGTGATACAAGTGTTTACCCCAGTACCGTAGGAGGAGCTACATGAGCTAAAACAGGCAAGCTTGAGAATATTAATCAGTGAAAATCCAAGGATAAGAATGGGTGGAGGAAGTACGGGGATGAGAAATACAGTAAATCCACTGGTAGGAGTACGTCATGTGGCTCCATAGTGTTAGAGAAATTCAGGTGTTTTGTTTTTGTTTTTGTTTTCCCTAAGGTGGAGAATGTCTTAGTGAGCAATTGAAAACAGTGCTTGCAGAGTTTCATGGTTTAGGGATTGAGATGTTACTGAGAAATAGCCAGAGTTGGGAGGTTGGCAGACTTGAGATTAGAATCCAAGCCTAAAAAACAAAACAAAACAAAAAAAAAAACCCAAAACCAGCTGGAGAATTGTTTTGGTAGTTTACTGGGAAGACTGAGAAATAGACAGGTAATTAAAGAATTAAAGTAGATGAGAGAGAATCTGAATTAATTTGCTTTAAGTTTTAATTTCTCCCATCTATAGACTGAAAAATAATAGTTTCTTAAGCTAAGAAACACAAATGTGACAATTGAAACAAGATTGAAAACATTCTGATAAGAATTTGAAATAGCAAATATAGAAAATATAAAGTAGAGATAAAATTAGTTTTATGGAGACCTGTTTATTACTTTACAGTTGTACCACAGTACTTAATTTAAAATGACAAAAGTTGTGTTCAGAAGAAATATCAATTTCTTGGTATTTAGTAGGACTAAGAGAAGGAAGGAGGAAATTATAAAGTAAAACTTCAAAAATTACTGAGCTTTCACAAAGTGAAAATGGAGTTGATAAATACTTTTCACACTTATAGAAAAGTAGATAGTGAGCAATTAACGTATCTTTCAAGAGCTAAAAAGCACTTTTGAAATCTGAATCTGTTTAAAAGTTTTACATTATTAAGATGAAAAACATTAATAAAAGTTGCTTGTATACTGCTGCCTCATAGCATATACAAAAATTACTGAAAATGGATTAGACTTACTTGGAAAACTCTTAGAAGAAAACATAAATGTAAATCTTCATGACCTTGGATTAAGAATAGTTTCCTGGATGTACAAGCCACAAAAGAAAAAAATAGATAAATGGACATAATCAGATTTTACCTTTGTGCTTTGAAGAATACCATCAAGAAAGTGAAAAGATGACCCAAAGACTGAGAGAAAAGTTTTGCAAAAAAATTTTTTTGCTTATGTCTGCTAAGGGACTTCTATCTAGAATATATATAAAGAACTCTTGAAACTTATAAATAAAAAAAAAACATTTTAAAATGGGCAAAGAATCTGAATAGACATTTTTCCAAAGAAAATATACAGATGAGCGATAAACACAAAAAAGATGCTCACTATTGGGAAGCCTGGGTGGCTCAGTTGATTAAGCATCTGCCTTCGGCTCAAGTCATGATCCCGGGGTCCTGGGATCAAGTCCCACATTGGGCTCCTTGCTTGGCAGGGAGCCTGCTTCTCCCTCTGCCTCTGCCTGCCACTCTGCCTGCTTGTGCTCTCTCTCTTTCTGACAAATAAATAAATAAAATCTTAAAAAAAAAAAAAAGATACTCAGTATCATTAATCATCAGAAAACTGCAAATCAAAACCACAATGCAAAAAACCAAAAAACCCACAATGCAATACTACTGCACACCCACCAGGATGGCTGAAATCAAAAGAACACATAATAACAAATATTGGCAAGGACCTAGAAAAATTGAAAGTAGAAAAGCAGAATGATGCAGGCCCTTTGAAAAACAGTCTGGCAGTTTCTCAAAAGGTTAAACATAGATGTACCATATGACCTTGCATGTGACTCCTATATATGTGTGTGTATATATTTCCAAGAGAATTGAAAATGTGTTCACGAAAAGTGTCTCTACAAATATTTATAGTAGCATTATTCATAATAGCCAAAAAGTGGAAACAACCTAAATGTCTCATCAACTGATGAATGAATGAATAAATAATGTGTATTCCATGCAGTGGAATGATCTTCAGCCATATAAAGAAATGAAGTGCTTCTTCCTGTACTGGTACTTGCTTGTGTACTCATTTGCTGTGGATGACCTGGTACTTCCTTTGTGAAGTGGCAGCTAAGGAGACTCCAAAATTCTCCATGGTGGATGAAAAGCCAAAAGGAGAAGTCAAGACTGAGAAAAATAATCATAGTAATGTTCACGTGGTTCTGTCAGGCAGTGTAAGATTTAAGCATATAACACTAAACAAACTAAGGAAAACCTCTGTGAACACAGGGTTTGTCTCTGAGGCAGATCAGAGTCCCATTTGAAAGGCAGCCAATCAGTGAAGCAGA